GATTTGTCTTTGATGCTTTGGTGTGTTACTTCTATATCGATGTTGAGAATCGGAGTAACGGTTATTATTCCTATGCGGTGACTGGGAATAGTTTCTGTAACTATTGTTATAACTTGAGTTCCGATTTCATGAATTATTTCTTGATCTGTTCTGATAGTTATCATTCAATCTTTGATAGTTTGATCTATTGTATTAATTATTCCGTAATCTGTTGTTTGGATAATTCTGATTTCGATTGTTTGAGTAACTTCTATTCCTATTGTTTGAATAGTTTCTATTTCAGTTGTACGATGAGTTTCGTGATCTGTTGTTAGAATAGTGTCTATTCCTCGAGTTTGATTGGGAACTGGATGCAGAAACAAATTCTGTTGTGTTTGAAATCGATCGTGGATAGTTGTTTCGACTATTAAATCGATTATATCTGTTTTGTAAGAAATTTCGTGAATTTACCTACCGATCTACCTCTGCAACTAGAGTTAGAGAGTTATATGGTGATTGATTTCTAGAGTAATTTGGGTTGCTTGGAAGTGGTTTTCCAGAGCTATTATTACTGTGTATATTCTTGTTGCGTAGGTTTTGATCTTTTTTCATTTATTGATAAAATGACTTATTTGGTTCTTTTTGCTTCTGAGGTTCATTTTGATTGTCTTGTTGTTTTTGTCAACATTCGAAAATACTGTGTCCGTATCTTCGGCAATAGCTACACCATTTTTTGAAAGATGGTTTACCCTTATAATTTTGGTTCTTTTCATAGATGTTTAGAATTTCAGTGATTTTTTCAGATAGATCTATATCTGACTCTTGTATGTTATTTATTTGTGTAGTATTTGTTTCAATGCGATTAACATACTGTAGTTTTAGATTCTCCGTTTCTTCAAGTTTCATTGTGATTTCTCCTTGTTCTAGTTTATCTACTAGTTTTCTGAAATCTAAATCTGGTTCTCGAAGTGAGAACTCTTTTCTTTATTGTAATTTTCCTTAGTTGTGGTGTTAAGGTCATCATTAAAAATTCTGTCATTTTTGTATTCTTGTAATCATGTGTATTAAGGGAATATGCCTTTCGAACTAGTGTTTCGATTCGAACTGCTAATTGTTTGATTGTTTCATTTGGTAACCTGCGAATTTCATTCCATAAAACTCTTTGATGTTGTTTGTTTCTTTCAGAATCAAACATTTTGAAAAATCTTGTGTAAATCTTTTCCAATCTGATTTTATGTCTTTAAGTAGTACTGAAAATCATTTTTGGGCTGCGCCATCTAGTGTTGTTTTTATTACCGCTGTGCGTCTATGTATCCAATTTTGATGAAGTGGTGTATTAATTGGTTCGGGTCCTATATTCAAAATTAAATTTGCTGTGACTGCATTTAGGTAACCTTCTACTGAGTATTCAGGGTCTGTTCTTGTGAATACCATTAATGGTTTATTAGATGTTATTGACGATCCTCCCATGAGATATGGATTCATCGTCATTTGTAGTGACTCTGCGGCATTTGGTATTTGCGAGAAATTTGTAAGTTGATTTTTTGTTATTTCATGTTGTTGTAGGTAATATGGTAATGGTATTTCATTTTGCATTTGAGTTGGTTGGTAGGAATGCATAGTCAATGGGTTCTGTGATTGTATAGGTTGAAAAGATTGTGTGTTAATTGAGTTTGGTATATGCATTGGTTGTTGATTCTGTATATCTGTTGGATTTTGTGGGTAAATTTTTATATTTTGGGATGGTTGAGATTGTCGCGGTCTTTGTGTGCGATAGTCTTGTGTATATGGTGCAAAAATTTTTGGTTGATAATAATCATCATCATCAGATGATAAATAATTCGTGTAATAAGGTGTTTGTTGTTTATTCTTATTTTGTTGGAAAAATGGGTAATTTTCACTGTGATCTTGCGGAGGGTATGAATTATTTTGAAAATTTACTGAATTGGTTGATGTATTTGGGAGATTCCAATAGTGAGAACATACGTGGTTGTTATTTTTTCGTGGAGGGTGATCTGTTCTTGATGAATGTGCGTAATTATAGTTATGTTCTGCAAAATTGCTTCTGGTGAATGTTTTTCGTGGTTTTGATGGTTTTGTTATTGGTCTATATGTTTTGTAATCCATATGTGAATACTCAGGAGCAACCGAGGGTTTAACGGTTGATTGTAAGTTTACTTGTGGTAGTGTTGTATTTCTATTTTTTGATGTTGTAAGATTTGGATGTAGCGGTGAGATACTTTGTTGTGGAGTTGTTACTGTT